TTACTATTCTAACTGATTGTACCTCAAAATAACTTGCAGAAAGCCCCGAACGCACTTTGAAATATGCAACTACACAGTATTTTACTAACTGTGTACTTCTTCTACAGAGGAAAACATTGTAGTACGACATGTTACCAAATGTTACTGGTTACGTTGCCGATAAAGATTTTATTACTCACAAAATATAACAATTAAAATATGATGCATTATCATTCATTAAACTACATCACGGATGTTAATCGAAGCATATTGTGCTGATGATGCCTCTCTTTCCCTTTTCACTTAAGGTAAACATTTGAATGCAGGACTTGTATTCATAGTTTTGAGTATTACCTCTTCTACCAACGTTCCCAGTTAGAGGAAGGATAAAAAGTGATGCAAGATGGCGTTTGCCCGAGGCCTCTAAATCAATAGATCTGCTCCTGGAAACTCGCGGTCGAAAACATTGGTGAAATACACTTAGCGAAGGTAATTTCCAAACAGGCGTATTGATCCCTTGCTTTGACATAATCAAATAAAGTAAAGCATGGATGTGTTTAGCCGGGATGTTTTAGCGTTAACGGTAACGCCATTAGTGTCTTAAGTTACTATAAACTCTTACAGTGCGTAAATACAGTTTTACTCACAGCGGTGAAATACACTCTTCAATTCTGCTTCCAGCCGACGATCCGCTCGTGTTGAATCCAGGGAAGTGAAGAAGACTTCTGTTGTGAAGTGAACTGCAGTCAATGAGCCGCGGTCTGCGGACGATATCCTGGAAGCCCCGCCCTCATCTGCAGCTAGTATATTCAAAGATTAACAACATTGAATGTTTCTAAATTGCAACTAAATCAATAAAAGCACTCCCTTGTTCCCGTAGTCGCGCCTTCTAGATTTACACGACACAAGCAGAGTCCTTAATGTAAAGCAACTGGACTTAGTCAATCGGTTCCAAACTGATGAAGCCTCTTGTATGCGTGAGAAAATTCAGGACTACAAGATATCCAGTGACCTCGACGAAATAGAAGGTGATACGAACACAAAGAACCGTGTCCACAGGTTCACGGATTCATACAGAGAAGTGGGGTACCGCGTCGGAGGCAGGGCCCCACTCACTCCTGTGACAGTTGCTCAGTGGTGCATGAAGCCAACATGGTTGGACGGCAGGTTGTAGAATAGAGCACAGAACTAGATCTACAAATGGAAAAAAGCGCGTTAGCCCTGCCTCCGAGTCGCTCTGCCCCTGGCTCATTTACGTGAACAATTATTTCACATGCTAGCGATCTATCGTATTAATCTCCGTAAAAAGGTTCTCACATGTCCAGGTCACTGAATGTCCTGTAGTCCTGGATTTGGTCACACATTCAAGAGAGTACTCTTTTGTTGTTATTAAGCTATGTGCTGAATTTATTACATTATTGAACTTTGTTTTGCTTGGTTGATGTTGTCATAGTTTTCTCATACTGGTCATCATGGTTTTGAGCTTTTAGTACATTTAAATCACGACAGTAAGCGCAGTTATTTCATTATAAGTTACAGAAAGATGCATCGATAGATGTTAACATGTAGTTAGGGCCGACTTCATACTGAAAAATGGCCGAACAAATGCTGTTGAAATCTAAAAATGATGTGGTTTGAGGTTTCTACTGAGAAAATACTGTAATGATCTGCGTTTTTTTCTGGTCCCTGAACTGTTTTACAGTCTGCATCTCATATCTGGACAGCAGAGCAATGAGACCATACATGCATACATCTGCACATGTTTTTGTTGCTTGTTAACTTCCCCTGCCATTGTTGCACCTCTTTAAATCATCCCACTTTGAAATGGATCAATGCACTAAAGTGTGGTTTCCAAACCCTCATGAAAGACAGCCACTCTGATCCCGTGTTGACGCTTTAAAGTCGAAACAGACGCTGGGCAGGAGATGTGTAAAGGTGGTTTGAGGTGCTATTTAACACAACGTGTTTGACGTTCTTGCTTTATGCTTCCACTGCTTTCAAAGCAACTGCTTAAGGCTTAGAAATCTGCTTCATAAATCTATTTTGTTGACTGTCAAACATTTAAAGCCCAGGTGGCTGTAAGGCGCTCTGTTGCTTCCTGCTGCACAAAGAGCAGTGACTGTGGTCAGCTCAGAGTCGTGTCTGTTAACAATTGCTTCCAAAGCTGTCATGGATGAAAAATGAATCGACGTGTTCCCCTGAAGGCACAATGAGATTTTTCCGTTGGGGTTTGCAAACACAACATTTAAAGATGGCGCCTCCTCCCCCTGCTCAACGACACCGGCAGCACACGCCAGCATGTGAAGGCCAAACCCGCGTTCACCCTTGTTTTGGATTCACAAGCTTTGGAAGCTTTGTGTTTCACCTCGCTATATTTTCTTTTGGCGAAGTCTCCGTCATTTTTGTAGCTTCCCGTTGGCGTGCGATCTGGCACCCGGTCGTAGAGGTTGACGCCCAGAAACAGCATGAAGAAAGTAAAATAAGGAAATACAGACACACTTCTAGTGGGTCATAAGTGATGATTGAGAGGGATTATCTGTTCTTTTGCTATTTGGATTCTATAAATTGATTCTATAAATTGATTTAAAGAAAATCCTCCTCAATCAGCCATTAACTGGATCAGGTCCAGGGGCGAAAGTAGGTTGACGTTCTTCCCGGTACTCCTACTCCAACACTTCATAATGTTCTCCTCCCACCCCCAACTGAAGCCTATCCAGTTTTAATATGTAAAATTGAACAGATACAACAAAAGAGAAACGTACCGTAATGCATGTACAGGAAAACAGACAAACCGAGCCGAAAATAAAGCGTCCTTTGCTAACTAACTGTATGTCGACCTAACATTAGCAGATGTGTTTACTTGTTGGAAATGCGATTGTGACGGGTTGTTGTTCGTGGGTTTTCAGCAGGCAGCTGCTGTCCCCTCTTCCCGGTACTGCATGCGTACCGGCACTGAATCTTTTAGTGGTGCGGAGTACCGGACCATACCGGCTACTTTCACATTTGTCATGTCTTTTGTATTTTGCCAGATTAGCAATCTGAACTCCTCATGTTGCTGTCAGTTATTTACTGACTCTTGTTTTATTACAAATTGTGTTATTTTTCAGTGTTTTTGGAAGATATCCCACTGATACTGATACTAATTGTCGGACTAGTGCATTCCTGAGAGTGGCGTGTCATCATGAGTGACAGCATAACAAAGAAGGCTGAGGACCTTCCTCAACCACGTTGACTTCAGGCAACGTGGGCACCGCGAGAATTATGATTCAGCACTTTCTATACACCATATTCACGTGAATGCAGTGGGAAAAGAACTGTGAGCGCCAGCTATCCTGAAGGAAACTTCATAGGGAACCAGCTACTGGTTCGATTAGTCTTTGGCCCCTATACCCAGGTCGGACGACCGATTCGCACGTCAGGACCGCTACGGGCCTCCACCAGAGTTTCCTCTGGCTTCGCCCTGCCCAGGCGTAGTTCACCATCTTTCGGGTCCTATCGCACAAACTCACGCTCCACCTCCCCGACGGTGCGGGCGAGACGGGGCCGGTGGTGTGCCGGACCCCGCGGGGCCGGGATCCCACCTCACCGGGGCTTCACCCTCGCCGCAGACCCCTGACGCCTTTTACTTGAGCCGATCCCCGCCCTGGTGACGCGGTTGGGGCGCACTGAAGGACAGTCCGACCCGGTCGACAGTCGCGCCGGGAGCAGGGGGCCCCGTCCCTCAACGCATGGAGAGAGGGCGCTGCGAGGTCCGGGCGGGGAGCGCTGTAAAGCACATAGTCACATAGAATAAATGTTGAAATATGTTATTTGCATGTTGATGACTCCTGTTTAGGTCTATGCAATAAGTGTACCGTTTATTACACAAAGCGGAAACCATTGTTCTACTTTTAGCTGCCAATTTCCAGCAGCTTAGTATTCATTTGTAAAATGTCTGGGGGCCGCCAAGACCTGCTGTCCGCCAACCAGAGCTGCAGTGTTTAGCCTGCAGGCACCAACGGTGATTTGTGGCCTGTAGCAGCCTCTGACAGCAATGTCATCAGATAGCAAATGAGGAGGAAAAGGAGAACTTCATAGCAAACCTGACCACATTGTTAGACCAGAATTGACCACTATTGTGTCACATTTGCACGAGGGACTTGTTACTGCTTCAACACCACCTGGCTTTTATCAAGTGGGTTTTGCGGTGGGCAAAACATGTTGGAACAATTCAGAAAGCAGCAGATGTCAGACTGTCGCTGTGAACCTGCTTCAAAAAGTCCAAGCAAGCAAATTATATATAATAGTTAATATAAGGCGTTTTCGGACCGGGGAAACTTTTCAAATGTTCAAGGAAGCCCTATTTTTTTGGGGTCTGCACCACAAGAGCAAAGACTGATCGTAGTTCCTAGAACACCATTTTGAGGGTTTAGGTACTCCAAGCACAAGCGGAACCATGAGTGATGCAAGTGTACGGTGATTGTACGAAAACATGAGCCAATGCAGCACTGGCATCCGCCATTTTTAAAAACCCACTAGCCGTGTAAAGGACAGATAACATAAAACACAGACAACAGCTCGCAACAGATTAAATGAAAGAAAACACGGACAAATAGGCCGACAGTGAACTCCAGACGTTACCTTGTTCATGAGCACACAGCCATTGAGCCAAAGGATGAGTGACAGCCGCTGCTCAGAGAGCTAACTAGCAGCACAAAAGCTAACACAGCAACATTAGCAGAAAGGCTAATCCAGTACCACAAAGCATACCCCGAAGAATGATAGCCGTTTGTAAATTAAATCAAGAAAGGTACTTTAGTGAGATCTATTTTGCTTGTTCTTATATGAATGTGCCATGTAATTGTCTATTTATTCTTAAACTACTTTTAAAAAAGCTAAGAGAGCTTCTGGAGCGTAACGAACTAGCCGCTCGCCGATTTCCCAGCTGGAGATGTGTGCGTGTGTCATGTTTTTAAATCAAGCTTTTTACTTGCCAAAATAACATTAATTCTAAATATATACTGTTGTTACTTTTGTTACAGAGAAAGATGCATGCCTTCATGCTGCTTGGCTGCTTTGTCCTCGTTTGGACAGAGTACTTCCTCGCCTCAGCCCACATCCCTGAGGAGAGACTCTCCACCAATAGGGCCGTTGTATCTAACTCTCTGTCTCAGAGCCTTTACAAAGGCTCACCTCCTGTTGTTATTGTTGGTAAGTTTGAAAGTTTAAACTCAAGTGATTTCACTTACTTTGTTAAGTCACAGTCCAGATTGAAAGGAACTGTTAAAATGTCTCAAACTTTTGATCGTTTATGTCATTTATGGTGTTTGCTGATGAGGCACAAATGTACAAGCCTGCAAGTCAGACAAGCTGACAGTTGTGAAATTAAATAAGTGGTAGCTTTTTTGAAAGACTATTGGTACGAAACTAACTTTCTCCAAAGGTAAATAATGTACAGAACATGCAAGATGGCCAGTGAGCTAACAAGAGAAACTAAACTGTTTGCAATGTAAATTCTGGCACGTTCACCCCCGCCACAAATGTGTCTGGCATTGATTTGAACAGCCACTGAGGCCACATTACATTACATTAGTCATTTAGCAGACGCTTTTATCCAAAGCGACTTACAGTTCAGATTCTACCACATTTCTACACCGTAGGCACAGCTACGGGAGCAATTTTGGGGTTAAGTGTCTTGCTCAAGGACACATCGACATGCGACTAGCGGAGCCGGGGATCGAACCGCCGACCCTCTGATTGAAGGACGGTCCTGCTATCCACTTAGCCACAGTCGCCCCTAGCTATGGTTGAGAAGTGTAAGAAAAAAAAATTCTGTTAATTATGAAATTGTGGGAAACATTCCCTCAGACGGAATTGCCTTGTCACTGTTTACCTCCAGCTCTGCTGTGAGCAAGACTTTACTCAGAAAAGGAGGCAGGGTGGAGCAATGAGGTTTTGCCAAAAACACACAAACTTTTAAGTGTTTGCATATTTGTAAAACTCAGAGACAGATGTAAAGGTTGACCAAAATAATTGATTTATGAAAAAATCAAATAAAGTGCCATGTGGATGATCTCTATCAATTCAGTACCATTCATTGTCTTATCTGCTGATAATGCATTTCTTTCTGCTGTGAAACATTCTAGAAGCATCATGTTATTCTAATGTTCTCCTACAGAGTTGCCAAAATCAGGGCAGAAGAACAAGAAAGCAAAGAAACAAAAAAAGGTAATACAAAATAGAAGAGAAATTATTTTGGAATTGGAAGATTAAAAAAAGCTTTTAAGTGGCCTGTTTGAACAAATATCATCTTGTTACACACGTACTGCTGCCAAAGTCAAGAATGAGTCTCCTATTCTCTCACAATCTGGCCAGACCAGCATTTTCTCTCAAAACACATTCATGCCTCCTTCTTTTCTGTACTCATATATTCTATATTGTCACACAGCGTAGTTATTTATTTGTTGTTACTGCCTCTCTCTCTCTCTCAGAGCAAATATGCTGTGAAGAAGCGCCCTCCTCCTCCTGCTAACTGCATTCCCTTGTGGGGAAGCTGTAACTCTTCAGGCAATGTGTGCTGTGATTTCTGCGCTTTCTGCAAGTGTCGGATCTTCAGAACTGTCTGTTTCTGTCGAATGGGCAACCCTCGCTGTTGAGCAGCCAGCTGCAGCTGGAACGGGCTTCGAGCTAACAGAACAAAAATGCATTCTATAGCAAACCGCTTGAAGTGAGCACTGGTAGAGGTGAATCACGTCTGGTCCTTGGTTTGTAACTTTGCCGAAAATTCTATGCATGAAAGCACTTTATCACCGAGGACTGTCCCACAGTGAGCCTCCCTGAAGTCTTCCAGGGTGTAGGCCTGCTGCTTATACGACTGCGATGACACTCGGATACGTTTTTATCTTACTTTGAGCTTCGAGCACGCATTTATTGAATTTTTGTCAAACTATTTTATATATGGCTTTTTTTCCCCACAAAAATACATGAATGTGCAATAACACGTATTATATTGAAGCTACTTAGCGTAATTTCGGGAGCAGGACCACACCTCTGACACGCCTCTTCCGGTATTCCTATAAATACCTCCCTAACCCACTCTTCCCGTCTCGTTTACGCATTCCCAACCCCACCCTCCCAACCCCCTTTTTCCTCTTCCTCTCTCTCTATGTTTTTCGTAGGGTCCTAAAGGGGTCCGTAACCACGGCGGACCCTCCGACGTAGCTCCCCACAACCCATCCGACCGACTAGAAGGAATCAACGAACAATCCTCTATCATTCATGTCCCACAAATAAAATCGTTAAACGCATTGAGTTGATGGTGTGCTCCTTGCTAGTGAATGAAGCCTTAAAGACTAAAGACAATATACTTTGTTTTAGTAAATGTGTTTTTGTTTTATTTAAGACAAAAGAGATATGAACTCACACATATTTCATGGATAAGGTGTCAACAAATCCCAGGAAAAGACAGGAGCCAATCACATATTAGTCCGTCTCACAGTATTATACGACTTCCTCAACTTGTCTGTGGGTCTCAGGTCTAAGCCCATCTAAAGCAACGCTCAAAATATATAGGTGGAAATATTTCATTTCTTTGGAACTATACTTTCAATGGCTGATTAATACACAGTTGGTGTGCAAGTGAGGAGCTGCAGGCCGGTGTGTGTGTGATTGAGTAAAAACAAACACGTGTGTGTGATCATGGTAATGAAGGAGCATATCACCCACTGCAGCAGTGCTCTATGTCCTAGAGGAAGAAGATGTACAAATAATACTATCTTGTCTGAAAGAGAAGATCCGACTTCAGTAGCTTGTCAGTTGTCAGTCCTATGAAAGAACAGGAAGGATCAGCTGGATGATAATGCTGAGAAATGCATTTATATCGATGAAAACTGAATTTAGACAAAGCAAGGGGCTGTAGAGGGTCTGAAGTTTCTCTGGAAGCATTTTCTTCCCATCATGGATTACCCTTCGCTTTAGATTCTCGTCTCACCTGATCATCTGTGTTTTGTTACTGAGGAAAATTCAGCCCAGGAGTCGGCTCCTTGTGTTGTTGAGACTGTGATTTACAGTAAGCAATTGCTACGTTATGATAAACACATGCATTGTCACATTCCCTTTGGTGCTAAATAATGAGGGATAACGAAACGTTGGTGAAAACGGCGGCCTTTTGATCATTGCTGACGGTTGAGTGTCTGTTGGATTGGAAGGAAACTCTGACCTGAAGGAGGAAAAAGTAAAAAAGTCAACAACCACCAACTAAGCAACCTTGACCAGCCGAATCTAACATTTCTAACATGCATGTTCTTTTCACTGAACACAAGCCCACTTTCACTCAGCCTTAAATATGGCCGTAAGAGTTTATAAATTGTTTAACGTAGGCCTATCACTTATACCTTGTGGCCATAACATACAAATTACACAAATGTAATGTGTTCATTTATGTCTTTTTACCAAATATATGTATATAAAATCTGAATTAAATAAGCTATATATACGACAATCAGAGCATTAATATAGCAGCAAACAACTATTTGTGATGTAAAAATATAGTGGAGTGATGTCTACCTGAAGTCACGCTCCCTCTGCTCGGTAGATAACGTTACTGGCGGAGATAGAACTGTAGTGAAATGCTCGGTATGTAATATCTGATTCACTAGATGCATGTAGGCTCTTGAATAAATCTATGCATTGAAAGAAGAATGTGTCCCTTCTATCTTTTTTGTTTTGATTGTTATTTATTGCCAACAATTAGAATATCTTCCTTCCTAGTTTTTATTTTAAATGGTTACTTTTTACTTACTTTTTGACTTTGTTATGGAAAAAACAAACAGAAGCTATTTAACATAACATTCCTTAACAGACCTGGTTCATGACCTTTCTTATAGAGTGACAGGATCACTCTTTAAAGGAATGAATCCTATCTCCGGGTTCTTGGCGTCTACAGACATTGGGATTGCGTTGCCAAGACTATGCACCAGGTGTAACCCCAGTGTTAGCAGCAGAGGTAAGTATCTGCTCCACAGGGTTCAAGGATGCCAGGTAGGCGGGAATCCATCCACCGCTCAGGCCGTTAACCGAGAAGCTTACTTCCCTAATGAGGTCCTGCATTGAATCTCAGACTACTCGCACAAAGGTAATGTCCTCCCCGACAACTTCTGAGAAAATCTCTACAGCGTGCAAGGCTTAATTGAGGAGAGTGTAGGGAACGGGGAGTAAGATGAGGAGTGAGTGCGTGTCGATGGGGTGAGTTGGGGCATGGAGCTACACGGGTGTGTCTTCTTCTTCTTGGAGTGGGGACTGCTCCCCCCCTTTCATGTCTGAAGGCTACCCTTTCTGAGTGAAAACTCAGATCAATATAGGGTTTGATTTGGTTGACATGAACCCATCTGTATGCGAGTTTTCCAACTATATTGAAGAAGCCCGACCAGCTCGGTAGTAAATTCTTAAGAGTATCCTACTGGTTTAAAAAAAACAAAAATGAAAGCCTGCTTTGATCCCGCACAGGGTAATCATGAAGCTGGGAAGGAAACGGGCGCCTCGATCTGACGGATTGGGGAAGCTCCCAGCAGCAGAACACATGGGTTAACAGCAGGAGTGCTGTCTGGGCAGAGATTTGATAATTGTGTTTATTTTTATTTCTGAGTGATGAAAGGACAGCTACTGTGAATCTCTGCAGCAGTTAGGATTGCTTTGCTTGGATGTTTTCCTCTCTCTCTCTCTCTCTTTTATTAACCCCCCACACACATGCCTGAACACTTCCACATGCATCCACACAATGATGTACTTCAATGTGGGGTTTTTTCTACCATTATGTGTGTGCAAAGTTTTGTCCTCTAGTGGCTAAATTGTAAAAAATTACAACCAAGGAGGGTTTGCCCGATAATTACATGACTCAGTTTGACTTTATTGCTTTAAGGCCACATTGCTTCAGTCCTTCATCGAGTATTACGTTTAAAGGCATCTAGTTTGGAAAGAAGTGGGGCAGAAGGAAGAGGAAGACGGATTATTGCAGACAACGGGAAGATGCTGGAATACTGACATCACACCGAACACATCTGGGTCTGCCATTTTTATTTAAAACTGTCAATAATAACAATGATAATAAAGATTATTGAGACTATTCTATTTTCAATATGGGATTAAAAAGAATGGGCGCTTTGTTGCCTCTTTTCAGGGTAAAATACCCACGACAACTGTGGCTCTCACTAATGGCATACGCATGTAGGCCTCAGGGGATCAGTAATGAGCCCATTACGGCATGGTGCACCACAATGAGGTGAAGGAGATGCTAGAAAACTATATGTGACAAGCAACGCACATTTGAGATTCATGCTTTGTAGAAAGTATATTTCAGAATGTATCTTTCAGTTTTATAAGAGAAAATACTTCTAGATGAAGGCTGTCTGAAAGTCACCCGGGGACTCTGAGATGGAGAGGCCTTTAAGGATTTTTAGGTTAGTCATTTTAACACTATTACAGTTTTTAGGGTATAAAGAGTATCTGATGACGCAGAAGACATTCAAGACACTTTAGCACATATAAGCACATCACCACTGCACTGAATCAAAACAAGAGAGCAAAACAGGAAGGACTTCAGTCTTTATCTTTTCTTAATGTTTAGGAAGTATCCCTACTCACTGAACATTTGCTGAAATCTGCTGAATATGTGATACTTGAAGATGGAGGTTATTCTGACCACGACGGCTTGGTTGCACACCTACAACAATTGCTGTATATTTGCAGTACTCAAGATTAATACGACTAAACTACAGATGCTCATTGGAAGGTTGCAGAAGTCTACACTACCGTGAAAGAACAGAATAGATTTCTGCCTTTAGATTACATTACATCATCATTCTGCGAGTAAACGAGAGCTCAGTAATTCCTACAGAGGAAGACACTAATGCAGAGTTTAGGTTTTAAATTTCCAACCTGTTTATTACCACCCATGGAGTCATGTTAAACTACCTTCACTTGCTTGAATTCTGAACATCCGCTCCCCCAAAGCAGTAATAAAAGCAGCTTGTTTCTCTAGGAAGACGACCCTGTGACAGGCAGAGTCAAAGAGGAGGTCTAGGAGGTCTAATCATGAGGTAGTTCAGCGGTGACGATGTGTTCAAGTGCTGTGAGACACAAACGGTGTAGACGTGTTCTTACTGGAGCAGAGGGCTAGTTAGCCGGCGCCCCATGACCTTTGACCTGAAAGGCAAAGCTCTACATCCCATCTGGGGTTTTAATCAAACTTCGCAGCAGTAAAACTGCACATGATAGTTATGACACATGATAAACCGAACTGATATGTGAAAAAAATCTGTTATATCTTCCGCAATCACATCAATATTTTCTGTGTTTTAAGGATTGGCTCCAGCCAAGAGGCCTTTTGTTGAAGTTGTGTGCTCACATGTACGGTAACATTTCTAAAGAGTATGACCGAAAACCAAGTAAGTTGTGAAGAATAAAATAACTTTGAAATCATATTAATGTTGTAAATGTATTCATGAAATGTGTGCTATTATAATTCTTCACACGCTTTCTCTTCATCAGGACCTTGCTTTGACAGTTTTTGGAGAAACATTTCTAGCTGTAACACATCTGTTTCTTTCCCTCACCAGTTACATTAGTTTAACCAGGAACTATGTGTTCACGGATCAAAAAGTCGCTGAATATGTGGATGAAGAGTAACATACGTATGATAGTCTGTCATTCTTTTGGTTTAACATGTGGTACTTGAAGATAGAAGCTCATCTGTCCATGGGGACAACCAGGAAGTCTTGGATTCACACCTACAATAATGACTGTACATGTTTGGGGATAATGTATTTACAGTAGATTTAACTGACCACATTATCAAGGATTGCAGCACATTACATGATCACTGCAACAGGCCCTGACTTCCACCATCATTCTGCAAGTGAAAGACTTGAGATTACGATGATGCAGTGATGCTGCACAGAAATGCTACTGATGCCCCAGCCGGGTCGGTGGCTCTTGCCAAGATAGACGGGACAATGAATAGCTCCTAATATCATTGTGTTTTGTATCTGTCAGAAAGGGGAAGATGAAGAAGAACTTCACACAACATGAACATAACTCAATGCAGTCATCCAAGTCGACCGGAATGACCCAGTCAAAGCCCCAACCTCAATCC